TAAAAAAGAAAAGCTGCGAGATGACCTTTCCTGCTGTCCCTGGCATCATGAGATGCCTTGATCTGCCACTTATCAGCTGAATTAAGGATGACCTCACATAGCTTCACACACAGTTTTGCTAGAAAAGAGAGTATTTCATAAATGAAGTGATTAGTTGCTTCACAGAAATGTCATTTTTGTGTTCAGTCTTGCTCTAGCCATCCTATTAAAGGGAGTAGTTTTCCTGGAGCTGAATGGTAGTTACAACATTTACCTGTGCTTGGGCCCCAGGTGAATTTGGCTCCTATCATTTAATCATATAAATTGGTTGCATGTGACAATTTTTTTTTTTTTTCCAGTTCGGAGATTTTAAATTCACTGATTTTTAGCCCTGAATGGCTCAATAAGTACCTCTTAAAGGGAAATAACTGTTAGTCTACTGAAGATAATACTTTTCTGTGGTGGATGGATTAGTATCAGTCTTTGAATGTTTAAACGTAACATGTTTGCTCATCCCTGCCTTTTTATTTGCTGTAGTAGAATGGGTTTGTTTCATGAAGAGTTCTGATGTGTAGACCAGATGCAAAGTGTATTAAAAAAGATAATACAAAAATATCAAAATAACTTCTTAAGGAGAAAGCAGCTTAGTAAGATTTAACACCACTACTGAAGACTGAGTGTTACTCAGGTGTCATGAGCTGAGTGCTATTGTGACAAATTTATGTATGTAAAAAACGTAAGAGAAGAAATTCCTTACCGTGTATGCTCCAGACAACATGTATGCACAATCTGTAATAGAGAATGTATAAATTCTATCATTGGCCTTTGTCAGCTTATTATACAAATAAATGCTTGCACTGATCAACAGGTTAAAAATAAAATCTGCATGCAGCTACTGCATAGGCAGCAGGCTGGTGCCCTTTTTTTTAATAAAAGCCTGTGATGTTCCAGACAGAGAGCCAGGTCCTCATCCTCGTGGTACTTAATTCCCCTGGCTTCGTTTGCACTTCTCTTGATTTCTGGTGGTACAAAAGCACTATCAAGCCAAGTGATTTTTATAAGTATGACGTAGGTTTGTTTCCTTCAGACAAAATGAGATTTTTCAAGAGCAGGAAAAAGTTAGACTTACATTATCACAAGGAAAAAGTTAGACTTACATTATCACAAGTTCAGCACAGGCCCAGGAAAAAAAAATACTGTTTAAAATTTACCCAGTCAGTTCTCTGAACTTGCTAATAACATGTCTTCATGCTTACACTGTCATAAATAGGAGGGAAGGTCTGTAGCCAGGAAGGGAAATAGCATGTTAACAATACGGACAGATTCATTTGTTATCAGATAGGGCATGTGGTAATCTGATGCTGGTGTACAGTACTTTTGCAGTCACTTTGGTTTAAAAGTGACTCTGATGAGATTTTTCAAAAGGAGCACAGGTGATTTAGAAGTTCCACCTGAAAAATTAGAGACAGCTGCATCTCTTCCCTCAAATCACTGGGCTTAATTTCTACAGATACTTTAGACACTGCTTTCCCACCAAAATTGATGAGCGTAGCTTTTTGCCTGTGAGTATCTGATCAGTTTAAGCCCGAGTTTCTCGTTCTGTTTTATCATACTTCTAAGCTACTGATGAACTTTTTCAAGATTGAGCTACATAACAAAATATTTTTGGAAATCCCTGGCAGCTACTTGCTGTGGTTAACTACATTACACTTCTGTTTAGGATCTTATGTCAACTTGGAGCTATTTACTCGCAACAATAATCAAACAAAAGTCAGTGTGGTCAGTGTGCCTGAATGGCTGTGTCTGGAGACAAGGGTTGGCCAGGCAGTGAATCGGTTGGCTGATCTAAGGTAAGCATTGTGGACCTAGATCTGGTGCATGGGTCTGCGCAAGTGATTCACTCTTGAGCTGCTCCGTTTCCTTAAGCAGTTTTTGGAGAAGATAACGGACAGCAAGTATTTGGCTCTGCTGCTTCGCTGAGCTCCTCAGAGACAGGGTGCATGTGGGCATACTTGAGATCTTTGTGAGGTGAGATGAACAGTCTGTTTTGAGGTCTGTGTAGGATAGCGGTAGTCTTTAGTGAGGGTTTCATTTCCGCACTGGAGAAGCTTGCAGCGTGACCTGCATCGGCAGAAACACTATAGCCTTTTGGAGGAAGAGGGAGCTTGGTTAATTCAACTTTGTGATTTGGCCAGCAGTTGATTAAAACCCTTAAATCACTATTGACAGTGGAGCTGCGTAGCACAGCTGCTTATTTAATCCGCTTTCCCATGTGAGTTACACCAGGTTGCTGCTCTCCAAGCATCTTCATAACCTGTTACAGGCTGTCTTGCAAAGAGGAAGGCCAGAAAGTTGATGTTAAATGCTAAATAATGGCTTGCAGCCTTAATGCTCTGTTGGGCCCATAGCTGTTTTTCCTTCAGCCTTATGAGTAGCAGACATTAACAGCTCGTTAGGAGAATGGATATACTGGCCAGTTTATCTAATGCACAGTTATTTTTTGTGTGCTTGTCCTCAAACCTTCACATCATGCTCTTCTGTCAGATCTTGGAGGCTAAGCAGGACTCTTTCTTGCTCCTTTGAAGCCATGTGTGCCCCAGATAACACCCCAAACATGGTGTGATGTTTCTTAGCCAGTGAGGCATGAACCAGAAGTGGGTCCTGGGGGAACCTACCGAGTTTTTGCTGCATTGGTGGCAGGTTTAGCTAGGAGAGAGACTATGACCCAGGAAAGAAAGGTCTGCTTACTGTCCTTTCCCCCTTGTCTCTGCCCTACCCTTCGGCTCCCTCCCTTGCCCAGCTCAGTCCCAAGGCAGGAGAAGCGAGAAGTTTGAGGGAGGTGCAGCGCTGGCTTCAGGCTCTGCTCAAAGCAGCGTTACCTTGTGGCTGACATTAGAGGAAAAAAATGAAGGCAAGGTGGAAAGCCTCGTGCTAGCCTTTTTTCTTTTCTTCTTTTTTTTTTTTTATTCTTTTCCCCCGATGATACTTTTGCTAGGTGTAATGCGCTTTGGTGCATATTGTAGCACGCTGAGCCCCAGCTCTCTCCCGTGAGCCGCTGCCTTTGCACGACTCTTCACCGACCTGGGGTATTGCGAAGCCGTTGGCAAGCTGTGCTGGTACGTTGAGGGCCTGCCGTTCCCTCTGCACAGAGCAGCATTGCATTTATAGTCTGTCTGGCAAAAACCAGCTGACACAGCCGCAGAGAGTTACAATTGGAAGCAGTAATTGCATTTGGTAGTCTTTAATTATAACTGTTGCTGCTCCAAACAAGTAGAGGGAAAGGTGGTTTTCTTATTTTTCAGCTAAAGGGAGTTTAGAAAGGGCTCTTTTTGGCTCGGTGCTCCATGCTTTGGCAGCTCTCTTTTCCATGATGAGCTGATGAGGGGCGATGTTAAGCGTCACCAAACATCTGCGGCCAGGAAGCGTCGTGACCTAAGTCAATCGCTGCTATAAATGAAGGTGGGCAGGGGAAGCAGAGACCGGGCTTCAGCACGTGGTGTGCTTTGGGTTTTCACGGCCGGCCGGTTCAGCCCAAAGGTGCAGGACATTTGTTTCTAGAGGGGTTGTTTCCAGCCTGTGGGGCAATGGGGTGGTTTTGCCTTCACCTAGCGCTTCAAAGAGGCGGCTGCTGTCGGTGGAGATGCGATCAGAGCTCAGTTGCGGCTTGGAGAAGCTATAAGCAATAGCGGGGACGTGCAGTAGGTCCAGCCACTGGAGAAGGTGCCTTAGAAATGGATGCTGGTGGCAAGAGCGGCCGGACGTGGGTGGGAGCGGGGGCAAAGAGGAGGAAGCTGGGCAGTGATAACTTCTGGAAAAATTGGCTGTGTTACGTCCTGTCAAAGGAAAAAAAGCATAGGAAAAAAGTCGGGGTGAAGCAAGAGAGGGGAGGGCAGTCTAGCAAGAGCGCTGATG